TTGTTTTTGTTTTTGATATTACTGTGAATGAGTGTTTCTCCATAATTAGATGGTTAATTGCCCTTGAGTATGTTAATCTATTCTTAGTCATTTTTAATTTATTTTATTTATTTACTTTTTAGTACACTTCCAAAGAAGAATAGAGCTTTGTGGCTGGCATTAAAGCAAGTCTGTATAGTCTATGGCTATCAGGATCACAATCTTCTTTCATTATAAACATTGGCCCCATTATTTTAGTAAATGTGAGCATGATCATATTCAAACTGAAGCCACAAATAGCTGACCATTTACATAATATTTTCTTTTTTAAGAAAAAGCCACACAGTAGGAACAAACTGATGATAAGTTTTTCAGGCAAATTACAAGATAAGCTAGAGAATCACAGCAGTGTCTGACCATTCAGTTTTCTCCCCCTCCAGAGCTTCGATTATTACAAGCCAAAGACCATGCAAGATGTTCACTGTTTTCTGAGTTGCCATTATACTAAGAATCATTTTAGTACAAGCTGTATTTAATTGTATTCTATTGACTATTAACCAGATTCCAAATAAATGGTTGTTTGCTGTACTGCAGTATAGAGAAATACTTTATAAGTCTAATGAGGTCTATAGAGGTAACATATAGTTGCAGGCTAACTGACAATTTACGGGCCAACTCTCAGACTTCATGTCATCATTATGTTTCAGGTGACAACTTTCACTCATCAATATTCCCAATAATTATGTGCTAGTGGATTTCAACTTCTGAGATACCTGTTTTCATGTCCTAGGGCATAGTCTGCCATCAACTTTCACCCAAAATTCCTTTCCGCAAGTAGTGTTATTTCTTCTAGCTTCATGGTACATTATCCTCGCACCCTTTTGATGAAATCAGGTGGACACAAAGAGGGAATCTGCTGAGTCCTGAGCAGGGCACTATCATTTGGGAAGGAAACACAGCTTGTAATGCCTGGAGGACTACTGCATCCTAGTGATGCAGTGTAACAATCAAATTGTTTCTATTTTTTTTTTCCTTTTTGTCTTTTTTTACTGACCGGTAACAGGATTGCAACCCTTGGTGTCGCGCCCGTACCAGGGACCAGCAACGGGATCGCAACCCTCGGTGTTGCGCCCGCACCGTGCTCAGCCAGTGAGTGGGAACCAGTCTCTACATGGGATCCGAACCCTCGGCGGGAGCACCGCTGCACTCCCAAGCGGTGTACTCTCCAGTGCGCCACCGGGCCGGCCCACAATCAAATTGTTTCTAATTGTGTGGAGTTGACTTTTGTTTTCAGAAATTATGTAAGACAATCTGAAAGGAAGGAAATAAAAGTATATGAATCTTTTCCAAGATACAGCCAGGTCAACAAATGTAACAAATCACCTCAGCTTGTCCTATGCTTTTTTAAAAGAACCACAGACCACACTAAAAGTCATTCTGACATTACCATATTTCAACTTTTTTTTTTTTTTTTAGATTTGTTAGAAGATGGATGCACTGTCAATATTATGATTTTACCTTAGTCTTTCTGATGACTCCATGTCTCTTACAAAGGCTTTGAAAGTGGTCTAATTCTTTACACTAACCTGAAACTAACCTGCACTATATTGCAGAAGAAAGAGACTTTTTATTTATAGTCACCATCTCACACACATTTACTATTTCCAGTGACCTAAAGAGCACAGTAAAATGTCCTACAAATTTAATGTAGGATAAAACATATGTGAGATAAATTCCTACTTAGGATTATTTTTAAAAAAATGCATAACTCTTTTTTTTTTTTTTTTTTTGTCTTTTTTCGTGTCTGGCAATGGATCGCAACCCTCAGTGTCGCGCCCGTACCGGACCGGGACCAGCAACGGGATCGCAACCCTCGGTTTTGCGCCTGCACCTCACTCAGCCAGTGAGTGGGAACCGGTCTGTATGTGGGATCCGAACCCTCGGCGGGAGCACCGCCGCACTCACAAGCGGTGCACTGTAGCAGTGCGCCACCGGGCCGGCCCTAAAAAATGCATAACTCTTAATTCAACTCAAATATTTATTAAGCATCTACTATAGATCAGGTGCTATTATAAATATAATAAATAACAGCTTTTTTTGTTGTATAGATAAATTCTTTCAGGGGTCTTTAGAAATTTTTTCAAAGTTCATAAAATCTTGTTTTTCCCTTTGTACTTGAAAAGTTGGAAGTAATCTGTCTTCCAAATAAAGAGAAACATTTTCTTCTATCTCATTTCTGGAATTTACCTATGTAATCATCTACACTTCCCACCCACTGTTTTTTTTTTTTTTAAACAAAGCTACTTTTTTAAAAAGTTATTGAAAGCCAAGTGATTTGCTTAACAACATAAGAAATATGTTCAGAATTATGTTCAGATGTGCAGTCTTGAGAGATCCAGGTAGTTTGGGGCTGGTAGGATCAGGGCAAGGAAGGTGAGAACACCTGACTCACAGAGCAGAGGGATGAGAAGTGAGAGAATTTGGCACGTGGCAGGTCCACCTAACAGAGCCATAATAGTAAGGTAAACGTGTAGGGAAGGTGGCAGAGACTTCTGTAGGAGTCAAGTCAGATAAGCATGGAGGCTTCAAGGTGAAGGAAAAGAATTCAGGCTGAGAAGGGCTAGTAACACCCCCACACTGTCAGAAGGCAGCTGTCCTTAGAATGTTAGGGCAGGGGCAAAGGTCTTTCTTACATACATATCCCAATGATAAAGGTTTACAGAGGATTCCAAGATGATAGAATTGTTTATCCACTAGTCCCTGTCACTGGGCATATGTAGATTGGGATGAGGGGCAGTCAGGGAGGAGAAGAGAATGATTACTTTTTTAATAATATAGAGGGAGAAAACTCAATTAAAATTTAGACAAACTTTATATCACTCATATACCTTATCACCTTGATGTATTATAACTTATTGATTATACCTGTTCATTTCCAACCATAGCAACGGAATTCATGATTATTAGTCTATGGGTCCTGATAGGGTATTTCCATAGGACACAGCTTCTCATTTTTAATTTTTCAAGCACAAAACTTTACTATCTAAGACTTTGTGTAGGTTTAATAAAAATAACTTTATGTACCAATTAATAAATCCCTTCCCATTGTAAATTTCCACAGAGAGAGGTTTTGATTACTAGTATTCTGTACTTTACGTGAAAGCATGAGATAGACAACTAAAAAATAGCTTCTTTAGTAAATCCAGAAAAATCACCTTCCCATATAATGTACATGAGAACTTTAAGTGACTTTCACCTTAATTAGACTTATAAATCAGTGTGAATATTAGTTCATTTTTAGAAATAAATAAAAATAGCTCTGATGTATATAACGTCTCTCTGAATGTAATCGTCCTCCCTAATGATATCTCTAATAAACTTCAAGACATATTAAACATAAAATTTCCACAGCTCCCATTACATTATACCTCAATAAACAATTTTTTGTTCTAACTGATACATGGAATATTAGGTTCTTTCTCAAATAAAAATTTTCTGTTTTGATATACACAATCATTGGTTTGTATGATCCCACAATGTACTTCTCAGATTAAAACAAAAAAACTTTAAAACAAAATTATGGTCAGTGGATGGAATTTTATAGTCCTTTAAACTTTCCTAACTGCTAAAAAGTGGAGTAAGTGAGAATTCTATAACTAATCGAAGTAAGTAATGAAACCCCATTCCTTCTCACTGCCTAACTTTCTCCATGAGTTTCTTAGCTTATTATTCTTCAGATAGTAGTTTGTCTTTATAATTACCTTAAAAAATCAGAGTAGTTCTCAACCTAGAATCACAACGGAAAAGTGACCAGTTAAAGGGGAAAATCTATTTAAAAATATTAATTTACAATATTAAACTGGGATCTTAAAGTCTGAGATCCCAAGACTCTGAGAAGCCTATCCAGGAACCTGTAAGATCCATGAAATCTCTCAGTAACTCTAAAAGTCTTTTAGATTTGCTCCAATGTGATGATTTAATCTAACCAGATGCATCCAAAGTCACCATTCACAGAACTAAAAACACACCAGGGTTTTAACAACCAGTTTCTTATGATTCATAGCTCTGGTAGCATTTTTAAGTCCCATGAAATACATTTAACTATGAACTTAATTGAAACTACTCTATACAAGAGACTTTTATAATTTCTTATATCTTTCGGTCTGAGAAAATAATTCTGATTGAGGAAGTAGTTGTCCGCATTTTTCTGTAATGCAAATGAAATAAGAATTTTATTTCCCCTCTATTAAATAGCAAGGAAGCTCAAAAAGTCTACCAACTGACATATCTGAACATTTCCACTTCCTTCTGAAAGATGAAAAATCACATCAGACAGCAAACATATTCTTTAGATTAGTGACAGGTGTAGAACAAGACACCAGTCAGCCTTTATTTTCAGTGTCGGTAGGCATGCTCAGTGACAGAGGGTACAACTCTTCTTTTTCATTGAAGTGACACATATCATATTATCCCTTCATCTACACCTCACCAAGCAGAAAAGTTTCCAAGCAATAAAACTACCTGATCTTGTTTGAACACTAGGCTATTTTCAAAAGATTAAATGTCAGTACTGAAGGGAAAGAAAGATGATGATGATGGTGATGATGATGGTGACAAAAAATCTAGTTTGAGAATCTCTTTAGAAGGAAAGAGGAAAAGTTGTCTGCGTTCTCGTATTCATTTCTCCAGACCAGTATGCTTATACAGGAGGTGAAAAATTTAGAAGTTTTATTTAGAAGTTAAGTGATTTAGATCTCAGTGCGATAATATGGTCCATAAAGCACTTGGAGCTGCAGGGAAACTGGGTGTTAGTGAAGTAAGGGTTTTAAAAGTAAAAATAAAAGCCCTTCCCCCTTTTCAGGGTGCCAACCAAAAACTCATTTCTTAGTTCCAGTTTCTCTTTTCTCCCAGCCAAATAAACAACAACATCAAAGCTGCAAAATTATGGCATTACTCAGAGTACATTCTGGAAAATGGTAGAGTAAAAGGATCCCTAGTGCAAGTTTGGATTTAGGATTTACCTGCTCTGATCCCAGTTGGCAGCAAAAAGGACTAGAATCTTCCTGCCATAGTGGTCCAGATTGGCCAGGCCCCCAGGGAAGCCATCCTTCAGTGCCTGCTTGATGCCAGGATCAGTGGCCTTGAAGCTTTTGAACATGTCCAGGTTCTGCTGCCTGTACTCGAAGTATTGGGCCAGGAGGCGAAAGGCCTCAAAGTGATGAAACTTCCTGGCGCGCAAGAAGCGTAAGATGAAGGCATCATCCGTGCGCAGGAAGCCAATGTCCGGCCTGGTGATGACCATGTCCCGCACCTCCTGGATGTCCTGGTGCAGCGTGTCTGGGTTCTCATTGAGCTCCAGGCGAGCTTTCTCCAGGGTCTCAGGGGAGAGACCCGCTTGTAAATGAGTCATTGTTCTGCTCCGCGTTCCTGAGCCTTCCCTCCTGAAGCTCTTGTTGACTGGCCCAACACACCTGGTACACCCTTGCTGCCACCCCTCTCTGGCCCCCAGACCAACAGCTGCCTGCTTCCTGTCCTGCACAGGAAATGATTTGCCTTGGTGTCCAATCAAGTACCCTGTTGCTCCTGCTTTCCCACAGCTTTCCTGCAGGGGATACAAAGTTCTTCCCCCACCCGCTAAAAACAATGCCCCACTTTGGTTCTTTCTTCCCTTTCCTTAAGAGACGTAGAGCTCTGGAGGGCCCTGCACCCGTCTTCTTGTTCTCTCTCTGTCCTAACAAAATACCCCTAATCCCACCTAGCATGGGGGGTGGTTCTGATCTTGGCACAGTCCTCTTCTCTTCTCTTCCAAGATGTAACAAAAACACCCCCCACGCACATCTCAGCCCCGGCACTGTGATGCTTCTGCGGTCTCTACTGAGGGACGCGCCTGCCTGCGGGGTAACGATGGGAATTCTGATAATAATAAGGCGGCTCTTCAGCGCTGAGCTCCAGGGCGGGGAGAGAGCGTCTGTGCCGGAAAGAAAAACAGAGAGAAAACGAAGGGGGAAAGGAGCTTATGTCTTCATCTGCTTATTCAAAGATGCTATTTTGTACGACGTATTTGTGGGATTTTATTTAAGATCATCATGATCCAATTAGGTGGAGACTCTGCAGATAGCGCACCTTCCCCCCTCCCTCCTTATACAACGTGATCTCATAAGGTACCAGCAGGGTTTTTGGTGGCGCTGGCACCAGCGTGGGCTCCCCCACCCCCACCCCCAACTTCTGCCTTCCTCTAGCCCTTCATTTCAACGGACTAGCCGCGGGGGTGTGGTGGGGGGCGGGGAAGGAAGGGGATCTCTCTGGGAATGTAGATTTCAAAAACGGGAGGAAAGGGAGGGAGTTGTAGAGGAAAAAATAAAATTGTCTCTATCTTTTCTATGAAACCCCAAAGCAAGAAAGAAGAAAGAGCAGCCGGCTCCTACCAGCAAACCCGGAGGCGGGGAGGCTAAGCAATGCGGCACTCTGGCATCCATCGGCGGCGGCGACAGCAGCATCAACTCCGCTCGGTGGGAGAGAAGGAGCAGCCAAGAGGGGCGACAGCGGGGACCCGGGCCGAAGACGCACTCGCGAGCAGCCGCGGCCACATCGTCCGCGGGCAGCCCGCTGCCTCTCTTAGCAGGAAGGGTGGGGACAGCAGAGCTAGGGCCACCGCTGTCCCAGGTGCTCGCCCGGCCCTGCCATTTTTGCCTTCGGGAGAGAAGGGAGGGAGCGAGACCCGATCGCCTGGAAGGAGAAGGCCACGCGAGCGGCCGCAGCCTTTGTGCGCCCGGAGCCGGTGGGGCGGGGGGCGCGGCGCGGGCCTGTCCCCGTGCGCTCCCGAGCGGCCCGAGTCGGGCGCGCCCTCCGGGCTGCTGCTGCGGCTCCGGCGGCTGCTGCTAAAAGAGGACTCGGCTCAGCCCAACTCCTCTCTAATTATCCCAGCACAGATCTCGCTGCGACGTAAGCACTCAGCTCGCGCACGCACTCAGCTCTTCTCTCCCTGCCTTGTTGGGCTGGGACGGCAATTTTGGTGGCATTCAAATATCCCGAGCCCCAGGTTTAGCCTGTTCCTTGTCCCTACTCCCCAGCAGGCTGCTGGGGCCGGCATCGCCTGGCCAGGCGGGGCAGCGACGCCTTCCAGCCTTCCCACGCCCCTCTGTCACCCTTTGTGTGCAAGACCCTAGAGCGGCTGGACGAGTAGCTGTTGTGCATGGTAATTCACATTGACACACATTTAAGAGTTTCTGTAGGAGGTAATTTTGATGTGGTAGGAGTACGGAAACAGTTTGTACTTTCCGCATTTGTTGTTGGCAGAGATGTTTAATTTAGAAAAGAAGACCAAAGTGGTTCCAACGCGTTGTGTTGATGATTAAGCCTCCGGAGGAACTTACATGAACAGTTTTCAGCCATAAACTCTCCCTGCTAAATCCTTTTGAAGAGGATGCAAATGAGCACGGGGTAAAATAATAATAATAATAATAATAATAATAATAGTAGTAGTAGTAGTAGTAGTAGTAATAATAATAATAATACAATGCTCAAAGGAAGAATAAATAGGCACTTCTTGACTCATTTCTCATCTCATAATAACGCAAGTATTTCTGGAGACATATATGATCTTTCCCTCAGTTTGATACATCTGCATACTAGACTCATTATAAATGAGCAGGAGTCTTTGAGCTTAAGGTGACTGTCTATGCATTTGAGGAAAGGGAATATTTTCTGTTTTCCAAGCACAGTATGTATTACTGAACATGTCACTAAGAGCAACTTTTGACTTACAAACTGTGGAGTGGGGGTCTGAGTTCAAGTCAACTCAGCGCAACAAATATTTACTGAATGCGCTATTTGTGGGGCGTTGTTCTACATTCTACAGAGAAAAGGTGATCTTAAAGATAAGAAAATTTTGTCATGCTTTGATGACTATTAGAATCCTCAAATTGCAGACACACTCTTTTTTGTTGTTCCCATAGTGATAGTGTTGACGAAAACAAAGAAAGAAGAGGGTTGTATGGCAGATCTATACCATTTTATGAACTAAATTAATGCTAAGTGATGTACGACCCAAAATAAGAGAACGAATTACACACATGCACACACACACATTCATTATTCTCAAAAAAAAATATTATGTTTTTAATGGGGGAGGCAGAAAATAAACCGTATAAATATGTGTGTGTATGTGTGTGTGTTTTTACATACGTGCTGTATATATTTAAGATCCTTTTAGGACTTTGTGTGATTATGACTCTTACAAGCATTCTGAATGCAATGTGAACTGTTCAATAATTTGCTTCCCATATCAAAAAATTTTTGGAAAATTCATTTTGGCCCAATATTCTAGAAAGAAGCTTTCTGTCTCATATCAACTGTATGAAGAAGTTTTAGCCATCAGTAATACTGAGAGACAATTCTCCATGGATCTCTCGTGTTTCTGCATGTCTTCCACACATGGCAAAACTGCCCTTTTGTCCAGAATGTTTTTTCAAGGATGTTTGTGTAGTGAACAGCCTTGGAAGATAGAGATAGTACCTCCATCTGGAAGGACGAATAGGTTTATTTACAGCCTTGGAAGCTGTAATGTCTCTCTCCTAAGCAAAGCACAGGCATAATGCCACCCATGGAGTGTGCAAGTATCATCTGACCCTCTTTTCTTAGCCTTGTGGGAATTGAGACTCAGAAACCAGTACAAAATTTGTTGATACTATTACTTCTTGCTGTGCCTAGGGATAAAGTCCTTTATCTCTAACCTAGGAGTTTTGCATTTTCTACCAGCATCCATAAAATTATGGCTAGCTAACTTGTTAGCTTTTAAATAGAGTTAAATCTCAGATACTTCACAATGCTTTAAAGCCAATTGCTTAATTTTGTTCTCTGAGATGGAAATATTAGACTATATTTTTGAAACTAACTAATAAAACAAAATTAAATTTGTTGGTCTGTAGTATGGCGTGACCTATTTTTAGTGACAATGTCTGTATTATTTACCAATAATAGAATTCCTTCAAGTAGATTTATTTTAATACAGTATATCAACATATGATGTAAGTAGGTTTATTTTAGTACAGTATATCGATATATGATATAAATAGCCTCCATAATGCAGTAGGATTGTTGGAGTAGGTCATTTATGTAGGTATAAGAATATTTTTCGTTATATTTACAAACTAGTAAGTCCTTCCTCCAATGATTGCACTGTAGCTCTCTCTCCACTTGTACATTTGAAATCAGTTCTGAAACCAAAATAAATACACAAAACCACCTAAAAATTAAGCAAGTTGTTTATTCAAATGGCATCAGAAAATTTGATTCTCATTAAATATTAATTTACCTTGCCAAATTAATGCAAAGTAATGTAGGAACTAGAATAAGAGAATAAATTAACTAAACAAAAGGACTAATTAAATTTTTGCTGGAAAAATAGTTTAACCAAGGACTTCAGGTGCTTTCAAGCAACTGGAAAGAAAAGTTTGGTTTACTGGTATATTTAAAATGCATAGAGTAACTAGCTTACATTTTTAAATATTTTATTTCATTTATTGTTAAATAAAAACACATACTAAAGGGGTACAAAACAAAAATGTATAGCTCAATTACATAATACAAAGCAAAGACCTGTGTAAATATCCAACCAGGTTAAGAAATAGGACATTAACAGTAACCAGAAATGCCTCCCCATCCCTTCCTAACTACTGGCCTCTTCTTTCCAGCAGAAGAAGCCACAGTATCTTCATTTTGAAAGTAATTCTTGTTTTCTTTAAAATTTTACAAACTAAGTAGCTACAATTTAGCTTTTCCTGTTTTTTTTAACTTAAATAAATGTAATCATTCATATGTAATTTAGTGATTGGTTTCTTTCATGCAAAATTATGTTTGTGAGATTCACCCATGCTGTTGCATGTAGTTACTTTATCCATATTCAGCGATGAGGCATAGAATTGCATTTTATACACATACTACAATGTATTTTTCCGTTCTATAACCGATGGAAATTTGGGTTGTTTTCAATTTGGGGCTATTACTAAACATGATGTAGGAGCACTCTAGTACATATGGGCATACCATGTAATACATGTATGGACAAACATGTTATCTTAGTGCACATGGACATACGTAGGAATAGAAATTGCTGAGTCATATGAGATATGCATCTTCAAATTAATAAATAATGCCAAGCTATTTCCCAAATGGTTGTACCATTTCACCCTCTCCCAGCAGTATGTAAGAGTTCTCACCATGCTACGTTCTCACAAATTCTTATTAGTGTCTATAATTTTAACTTGATCCACTCTGGTTTTGAACAGGGCATTGCATTTTGGTTTTGGTACGCACTTCCATGACTACTAAGTGAGGGTGAGCAAGTTTTCACATTTTGGAGGGCCATTTCTTTACCCTTCTGTGCAAAATGTCATTTCAAAGATTTTGCCCATTTTATAGCAGGTTGTTTATCGTTTTTATTATTGACATGAGGGATTCAGAAACCTTGTCGATTCTGAATATAAGCCCTTTATCAGTTGCATGCGTTGAAAATATCTTCTTCCAGCCTATGGCTTGCCTTTTCACTCTCTTTATAGTGTCTTTTGGTGAACATAATTTTAAATTTTCAAGTAGTTTGATTTTCCCCTGTGAACAGTACTTTTTCGGGCTCCTGTTTCAAATTATCACGTGGTTACTCAGATATTCTCCAGTTTATCTTCTAGAAGTTTTATTGTTGTTGCCTTTTACATTTGGACTTGCAATCCATCTGGGACTGCATTTAATACACAATGTGGGAAACAGATCAAGTATTTTTTTTTTCTCTGTGAATATCCAATTGACAGCACCATTTATAGAGACAATTTAGTTTAAAACCCCCCTTTTTTTTCCCTATGGGACAGAAGGACAGCCATTGTCACAAAGTAATTGTCCATATCTACATGGATTTTAATTCAATATAAACTTTAAATCCTACATTACTTTGTACTAATACAACCAATATTTCTCACTAGTTCTCAAAGTGTGGGCTCCAGATCAGTGGCATTCGCATCACTTGGGAACTTCTTAGACATGTAAATTCCCATGCCTAACATACTGAATAAGAAATCCTTCCAAAGGTGTAGGAACTTGCAAAGTTTTCTGGCCAGCACATTGATTAATTCTAAGCTACACATCTTTGTTTTGTGCCCCTTTATGTAACTATTAAAGCTTGAGAATCATTGTAGATTTACCCACTGTTATTGTGGGTAATATTGTAGATTTATCCATTGTTATTTACTTTTTCCTGTGTCTCTGAGTGTCCATATAGAATTATTTTTCTTTTACTCGAAGAACACCTTTTAATCTGTCCTTTAGTACAAATCTAAGGATTATAAATTATTCATTTTGCTTGCCTGAAAGTAACCTTATTTTACTTTCACTCAAAAAAATATTTTTTCTAGATGAAGGATTCTAGATTAGCATCTGTTTTCTTTCAACACTTTAAAGATTTTATTCCATTTCTTTCTAACTTGTCTGATTTCTGTTGTGTCAAAGTTAAGTGTCAATCTTTTCATCGTTTATTCAAAAGAAATCTCTATTTTTCTCTAGCTGATTTTATTTTCTCTTCATGTCTTTACTTTTCAACAATTTTACTCTACTCTTTTTATTACTTGACTTCTTTTCACTCTTTTATTCTTATATTACTTTATACATTTTTTTTAAAAAACCTTGGGGTTTATAGGACTTCTTGACTCCACCTTGATGGCCCTTATCTGCTTTACAATTATTTTCAAATATTGCCTCTGCTTGACTGTCTTTCTCCTCTGCTTTTGGAATTTCAGTCACACAGATGTCATATCTCCCCATTCTTTCCTCTATGTCTTTTGCTGTGTCATCTGCATTTTCCATCGTTTTTTCTCTTCATCTTTCATTCTGGATATTTTCTGTCTAGCCTGCTTTCAGTTTGTTAAATCATTCTTCAGCTCTTTCTAATCTACTGTTATCTTTCTTCACTGTTCCTTAATTGGATTCTTAATTTTGATCATTATATTTCCTATTTCTAGGGTTTCTACTGATATATACACAGACATACACACAGAGAGATATGTCAGTTTTGTTGTAATTATTAATCTCAGTTTTTATCTGTTTGTACATAATAAACAGTACTTTTAAAATCCTCAATAACTCTAATATCTAGATTTCTGGCAGAACTT